TAACAGAGGCTTTTCCTATACTATTAATATCTTGTATTTATATGGTTTCTACCTTCTTAGGAATTCAAAGCATTTAATACATTATCTGTATTACCCCCCAACATTATTCTTCTAGGTTACCATGTACTAGTATGCTGAGTTTACAGATGAGGTAATTGACACAAAGGACACCAATATTTTATCCACGGTTACCAGGTGAGTTAGGGGCAAAGTCACAGTAAAAGCCTAGGTCACCTTACTCCTACATCAATTTTCTTAATCATGCTATCCTGCCTTTGAGAAATCAATTTCTAGCTGGAAAATTCCCTAAAATATAATTTAGTAATGTCCTCAGGACCCTCACCTACACTGTTAAAGTGAGAAAAAAAGTATATAAAACGGAGTTTACAGAAGCAGAAAGGTTTGCTCTGTCATTTTTCTCTTGGATTACTCCCATTGCCTACTCTAATGTAACATAACAGATTCCTATGCCTTTGTAAATGGTAGTTAAACTTCCCAGTTCTTCCGTCTAAGTTACATAGTTCACACCAAAGGAATGAAGAACTCTTCTGGGACTGCAGAATTCCATAATGTGCAAATTAGACCTTTGACATAAAAATATCCTTATGAGTGGGCCTCAGCATTGGAGGATGGATCCATTACAACAATGTAACAAATTCATTCACAACAAATTCATTATATCAGACAGCCAGAGCTGCAAGAGACCTTGGAGAATATCAGAGCTTAGAGCACAGAACACTGAAGCTAGAGGAGCTCTAAAATAAAATAGTGGAGAACTGGCCACAGAGTAGAAGTACTGAAAGGACCCATAAGACCATAGCACAACTTGTTAGCTATCTCCACAACAGTCAACATCTTCATCTGCTACCCACAATCACCCTCCACAAGACAAACTTTGGACTCCTCCCCTGGGACACTGGGCTCTAGTAGGTGAGATAGGGCCTTATTTCCCCCAGAACCAGTCCTCTCCAATACTTTCTTGCTATGGCCACATCGTGCCACAGCACATGTAGCTGTATCGCATCCCACATACCCCCCCACCTCTGCATCCCCTCGTCCCCCATCACCTCACCTTCCAACTTTCCTTACTGGGTTAACTTCCCCCATTAGAATTCAGCTCTTTGAGGGCAGGGCCTATCTTCTGCATCCATAGAATTTAACACAATGTCTGGCACATAGTAAGTACTTAATAAATGTTCTGTCAGATGTTAGAACATAGAAAACAGAGTGTTAGTGCTATAAGAGATCTTGTAAGACCAAGTCTAACCAAGGGTGGGGAACCTACGGACTCAAGGCCACATGTGGCCTTCTGAGTCCAAGTTTTACAGAACAAATCCTTTTATTAAAGGGATTTGTTCTGTGAAGCTTGGATTCAGTCAAATGGCTGAACTTGAGGACCTAGAGGGCCACATGTGGCCTCAAGGCCGCAGGTTCCCCACCCCTGATCTAACCCCTCATTTTCAGAATAGGAAAATGAAGGCCAGGGAGATAAACAACTGGACCAGGACTGCCCGACCAGCTAGTTAATGGCAAAGCCACAGCTCAAAGCTGCTTCTGCTGTCTCCTAATAGAAGGCTCATCCCAGGGCAATGTGCTACTAATCCTGGCAATAATACTAATACAAAAGTACTCAGGCATCTGTTTAGAAGCTAAAATGGGGGGGAGAGAAAGAACCTGATTAGCTGTTTTTTGTGCATAAAATGAAAGAACTCTGGAATCCTGCTTTAATCTCATGAAGTCTAGAAACAATGTTCTAATTAGCTTTGCACTGGGGCAGCTAGGTGGTGCAGTGGATAGAGTACCAGCCCTGAAGTCAGGAGAACCTGAGTTCAAATCCGGCCTCAGACCAAACACTTAATACTTACTAGCTTTGTGACCCTGGGCAAGTCACTTAACCCCAATTGACTAAAAAAATAAATAAATAAGTAAAAATAAAAATAATTAGCTTTGCACCACAGCCAGCTACTATGATCATTTATAAAAATAGATGGAATGACAGGCACGTAGATGGAAAGAGCTCCAACCACAAGGATCTTAAAGTAAAGAATCCATTGATAAGTTGCTGTCTAATCCATAATGGACAAAGGCTAGCAGCTGGCCGATATGGTCATCAACACTGGACAGAGGTCAAAGAAGGCAAACAGTGTGGGTACTACTTGCTGAGGCTTTCCCACTCCCAAGAATTTGCTTACTGGTCCCAATTCCACCAACTAAAATCCTCATATGCTTTCCTTTTTATCAGACTTTCCCATCGACATAATCCCTCTTTTCTCTGACAAAGGAGAGCAGCATAAAACTGAACCCTCTTAAATTTTTTATCTGTCTTACGATATTGATCATACTCTATGAAGCACAAATGGTATAAGAGAGTAACCGACTTGGGAGTAGAAGAACTAGGTTCAAGTCCAGGCCTCTGTCACTTCCTAGCTATGTGATAATGAGTAAATCACAGAGCTTTGGTTTTGTCTATAAATGGAGATGATAAATCTTATGCTACTTATTTCAAAGAGTTGTCGTGAGGAAAGTGCTTGGTAAGTCTTAAAGGGTTAATACAAATATGAGTTATTATTATTATTATTACATTTTGCCTTGTTATTAAATGTATTTATATACTTGTCTCAACTCCCCAAACCAAACTATAACCTCTCTGAGCAAGAGTATTTCTTTTAGTTGCCACAGGGTCTTACAATCAACTCTAATTGTTTCATTGAACCGAACTGAAAATCAGCTCCACTTTTCAGAAGATGTTCTCTCTTTGAAGCATTCCATCAATTAATTAAAAAAAAAAAATCACAAGCATTTATTAAGCACTATGGACTGGGCCAGAAAAATGAGAGAGCCCTAGTCCTCTAGAGGCTTATATTTCTACTGGTAGGATATGACATGTCGACAAATAAGTAACTACAAGAATTATATACAAAATAAATACAAAGTGATTGGGAGGAAGGGCTCTAACAACTGGGGGAAATCAAGAAATGCCACTTTGAGAAGGTGGTACTTGAGCGTAGCCTTGAGGGATCAAGGGATTCTAAGAGATGAGAACATTCCAAGTATATAGGATATCCTGTGAAAAAGCATGGAAGAAAGAGACAGAGAACTATATATGAAGGCAAGCAAAGAGGCCAGTTTGGCAGTACTAGAATATGTGAAAGGTATGAATTAAAATCATCCCAGAAAGATAGGGTGGGGTCAGCTTATAAAAGGTTTTGAAAGCCAAACAGAAAAGGTTGCATTTTATTCTAGAAGGAATGTAGAACCACTGGAACTTTCTGAGTACAGAAGCAGCATGTCAGACCTGTACCTCTGGACTATCAAAAGAGCAGCTGTGGAAGACAGATTGGGGAGGGCAAAGGGTGAGAGGTTGGATGCCAAGGAGACCAATTGGGAGGCTACTACAATTGCCTATGTGAGAAGTGATAAGGATTTGAAGTGTGGTAGCTATGGGGGTGTATGGAGAGAAGGGCTTAAATACCCTTATGTATATGAGACATGTTGTGGAATTAGAATTGACCAGACTTAGCAATATATTATATATAAGGAATGGGTGAGAGTGAAAAGTTGAGTGGTAATGCTTAGGCTGAGAACCTGGTGACTGGAAGGAACAGGATGATTAGGTTCAGGAGAGAGATAATTCAGTTTCGGAAATGAGTCTGGATGCCTTTGGGATATCCAGGTGGAGCTGTCCAGCACACAGTCAGAGGTCCAGGGGTGGGATTCTATGAATTCTGTGAAGTTTGGATTCAGTCAAAGGGCTGCACTTGAGGACCTAGAGGGCCACATGTGGCCTCAAGGCCAAAGGTTCCCCACTCATGTACCTAGACTAAGGCTCAGAAGAAAAATGAGAGCTCGATAAGTCGTTTTGGAAATAATCTGTATAGAGATGATAGTTGAACCCATAAGACCTGATGAGATCATGAAGAGAAAATGTGTAAAGAGAGAAGACAGCCCAGAACAGAGTCCTGGGGTATTCCCACACAAGGGAATAAGGCATGGATAATATGCCTAACATGCCTCACAAAGCCGACATTAAAGGTTTACAAAGCACTTTATATACAACAGCTCCTTTGAAGCTCATAACAACCCTGGGATATGGACACTATTATCCATACTTTACGAATGAGGAAAATGAGGCTTAGAAATATTCAGTGACTTGCCCAGTGCCACAGGGCTAGTAAGGGCCATTAGCAGAATGGGAACCCAATTCACCTTGACTCCAACTCCAACACAATATAAAACAAGTCATATGTACAGCCTTGTTCCTTCACAACCGTGATTTCTTTCTCCTTGATTTTCACAACACTTGGCATAGACCAGATCTTATAAGATCATGTAGTCTAACCTCTACGCCACATACGGCCCTTTAAGTCCTCAAGTGTGGTCCTTTGAATGAATACAAACTTCACAGAATAAATCCCCTTAATAAAAGGATGTGTTCTATAAAACTTGGACTTAGTCAAAAGGCCGCACCCAAGAACCTAGAAGACTACATGTGGCCTCAAGGCCACAGGTTCCCCACCCCTGTGGCCTAGAATATTCCTTTGACCTTATCTCAATCCCCTCTTATATCAATGTATTTGTGTATTTGACACTGACATTAGCAACTAGAGAGCAAGGTCTGTGTCCTATTCAATCCAATTTGCTCAGTGCCTTTAACATACTGGCCACTGAATAAAGGTTTATTGAATTTACAGGAAACTTGACTCTGGGCAAGTCACCTGACATCTCTGGACCTGTTTCCTCATGCATAAAATAATATATAAAGGGATAGTTCTAAAAGACATCTTCTGATCTTAATACTGTATGTTCTAAAATCTCTTCAACATCTGACATTTTTTTCCTAAGACCCTTTCCATCTCTGACATCCTATAGATGATAAAGCCATGATGGGACAGTCCATCTATCTCTGTATGTCTAGGGTCGAACACAGGGCACTGCACTTAATAAATATTTGCTGAATTCAGCTGAATTGTATGAATTTCACCGAGAGTCACTTAACTTACATGGGAATCGGCACCCGAATTACTGTCCCATCGACTTCTGGGTTCAGATTCATTCCACTTTCTCTTATGGCCTTGATAGCTGCAGCTGTACACTGCAAACCAGATCAAACAGTGAGTAGAATTAGTAAATAATTATTGCCAGATGCAACTGCTCTGTCGACAGTTGGCGATCCATCTCAGTCGAACATGGAAACATTTAGTTCTGTTCCCCGTAAGATCAGGAAGTTACATTGGTGCAGACTGCTTTGATCAGGCTGAATAGCAAACTGTGTCCACTCTTGGTACCAGGGTACTGCAAGAGAAAAAAAGTAACAAGAAGAAAAAAAAATCTCTGCTGCTTTGAAAAGATTTCAATGGTTTGAAGCAATGCAGATCAAAACCACAATAAATCCTCCAGGGAGGGGGCTGGATTGTGCAAAGATTGGTGTAAAGACAGATGAAAGATTTTGTCTGTTAAAAATTCCAGTTGACTAGAAATCTCCCAGTGCCGATTATGAAAGATTAAATCAATTTAACTCCTTAGGTGCTAGTCTGTGTTCATGCCAAACATACTCATTCTTTTTCCTGAGTGATGAAACGCCTGCTCGTGTGTTCATGGGCACAGTGAGAATGTCTGTATTTAAGGATCCAAGGAACCCTGTCTTTGAACCCAGGGGTTGATGAACTGTCTCAAAGGGCTCCTGGAGGCTGACTGAAACACAGTCATATCCTACTAAGTGTCACAGAATTACAGCAACTTGGGAGTTGAAAGGCATCTCAGAGATCATCTAGTTCTGGGATTCTTAACCCATTTTGTGTCATGGACCCCTTTAGCAGTCTGGTGAAGTCTGAGGACTCATTCTCAGAAAAATGTTTTTAGATGCATAAAATAAAATAAAATAAAACAGATAAGATTACAAAGAAAACCAATTATATTGAAAGACAGTTATCACAATAGTTAAAAAAAAAAGTTCACAGACCCAAGGTTTAGAACTCCTGATAATCCAACTCATCTGTATCCAAACAAGCATCCACTCTATAGAATCCCTAACAAGTGGTTATCCAGGCTCCATAAATACGGAGAACGCATTACCTCCCAGCCCATTTTGGTTCAGAACAGCTCTTATCTTTGGGAAATTTTCCATTATGGATGCCCAAATCTGCCTTCCTAAGATGTTCATACACTACTCCAGGTGCTGGGGTGGAGACTTGGAATAGCTCCTTTAATGACTTTTCCTCCTGCCTAAGTAATGCTGCAACTATACCTGGTCTGCCATACTAAGGAGCAGCTCAAAACTGAAAACTTTTCATTACCTGCCTGAAAAATTCATTAAAGCAACCTTCACTGATGACATTTTCTGGGAGTTAAATTTGATAGCCAAGTCTATCCAGAATCCTACTGAAGAACTCAATACCTTAATTCCAGGTCCAGCTCCTCTTCCCCTAGATTTTCCTAAGCTCATGTTAAATGCCTTTCGCTGGGAAGGGGACAGAATAAATCAAATCCGTTCCCCTCCATTCCAAAAACAACTTTCTTCCACAGTCAACATTTATTCATGAAACATTAAGGTCTATCTGTGCAGAGCACTAATCGAGGTGCAGGTTCTATAAAAGGTGTGACTATAAAGTGAGGGGGACTCACTAACTGTTGTTGTTGATGTTTTTTTCCTTTTAATACAAAGAAACCAAAGCTTACTCGTCTGAATGACTGCTCTATCCAGTTAAGTAGTTCTCTTAGGAGATAATAATAATAATGATAATAACTTACATTTATATAATACTTTAAGATTTACAAAAAACTCTCCTCACAAAAAATTGAGTGGGAGCCAGAGCCAGGATCGAAATATAGGTCTCTTCAGAATCCTGGGCCAATATTCTTTCCACTATATGACACTGCCTTTCTCTAAACTTTTACACTTATTCCAAATATGCTGCCACTGCTCAAGCCAGTCTTAGAATGTCTCTTAAAGAATTAGGTTCAGGGTCTCAGTATATTCTGTTGAAAATCCTCAATGGTGGCAGAGCTTTGCCTTCTAACTCTTAAGTCCCAGATTACTATTTGATCTAATCCTCTGATTTTACTAAAGAAAAAAATACAGACTCAAGAGAGTGAATTGTGCAGGGTCACAAAGCAAATTAATGGCAGAGGAGGGATAAGGTCCCCAGTTTCTTGGTCCCTGGGCCAATTCACTCTCTACTACACCAAGCTGCCTGTGTCTCCTCATAATCTTTCCAGTAACAAATGTGTTGGATCAGAATGAAGAGTAGTGGTGAGGGGGTGAATCCGACACATAAATAGCCAAAAGTCATTTGAACAAATCTGGTACATATACGGTGGGTAAATGAATGATCAAGCTCTGATGTCAGGCTCTAAAAATGGTTCCCACTTCTTAGTGTGTGATCATAGACAAGTTTAGCCTCCCTGAACCTCAGTTCCCTCAACTGTAAAATAAGAATGATAACAGCTGTACTCATACCTCACAGCTAGGTGGTGCAGTGGACTTTGAATCAGGAAGACTCATCTTCATGAGTTCAAATCCAGCCTCAGAAACTTACTAGACCCTGGGCAAGTCACTTAACCCTGTTTGCCTCAGTTCATCCACAAATTAGCTGGAGAAGGAAATGGCAAACCATTCCAGTATCTTTGCCAAGAAAACCCCCAAACAGGGTCAGAGAGAGTCAGATACAACTGAAACAACTGAACAACAACAAAATACCTCACAGGCTCATTATTGTGAAGAAAATGCTCCAGAAGTCTTAAAGTGTTCTACAAGTTATTCTGCTTAGGGTCAAAATTGGGATACATCTATAAAATTATATGACCCATTTCTTTGCATGATTCATAATTTGGCCCTAAAGTCAAGGCCACAGACTACATCTTGGAATAGGCAGACAGACAATCCCAAGAGAGCTACTTTTAAGGGGACAACATCCATTTGGACATACATACCTTTATACTTTAATGGATTAGTGACTGGTATTTATGTCGCCTTGAGCAGTACAGATAACAACTCTTCTACCCTTCTTATCCTGCACAATTCTTGCCTCTGTCTGTTCTCTAAAGCCTCCATGAAGGATGTACCCAACAAACCAAAAGCTTTCTTCTGGTTCTCTTTTTTTTCTTTTTTATTATGAACTTAACAATTATCAGCAAACATTTCAATATACAAAGAATAAAAAGATTACATTTGAACTTCTGTTAGTTTATTTAACAAGGCAGTAACAAAATTGCCCCTTCTGTTTATAGGAAAAAATTCCTTCTGAATTTTTTGCTTCCTTCTGTGTATTTTTAATTTCTTATTGATGTTCCTTCCTATCTTTTTTTTTTGCACCTCTCTCACCACTTATTAACACATCCTCCTCCCAAGAAGAGCTTCGTAATATAACAAATATTGTCAAATAAAACCCACCAACACATGGGTCATGTCTGATGCAGTCTAGCCTGCTGCACTCTTAGTCTTCTAAAGTCATGACTGATCCCTGTGTCAACCAGAGTTCTGAAATCTTTCAAAGTTCCTTTTCTTTATATCATTGTGTTCATGTCCCTGGTTATTCTTTTTTAAAGTCTCCCCAATGTCATTTACCAATAGAAAAGTGGTCAACTGATAGGTTTACAAAAGATTAATTGCAAAAATTATGGTTCAGAGAAACCTAAAGCCCTAGGCTGGAAGTCCACCCCCAGAAACCTACTCTCAGGGGAACTTCTCATCTTTAAAATGGGAATAATATCAGTAGCACTCACCTCACAGGGTTGTTGTGAGAATCAAATGAGATAATGTATGTAAAATGCTTTTCAAACCTTAAAGAGCTATATCAACTATTACTATCAACAGCCATATGAAAAATGCTCCAATCAACCATAAGGTACATGAACACACTATTCATGGAGCTATGATTGGGCCAACCACTCTGGAAAGTAGTTTGGGAAAGTGATTAAACTATCCATATCCTTTGACCCAGAAATCTCACTGCTAGGCATATACCCCCCAAAAGTAAGAGACAAAGGTCACACATGCAACAAAATATTTATAGTGGCACTTTGCATAGCAGCAAAAACAAGAAATAGGGTAGATGCCCATTGACTAAGGAATAGCTAAACAAACTGTGATGTATGAATGTAAGGGAATACTGCATCACTGTACAAATGATAAATATGAAGAATGTGGAAAAGCATGGGAAAACTTACATAAAATATAAGTAAGCAGAACCAGATAAATAATATACACAATGACTATAACATGTAAAATGGAAAAAAAACAAATCCAGAATGAATGCTATATAATTACGATGACCAAGTTTGGCCAAAAAAAAAAGAGAGAGAGAGAGACAGAAATGAGAAAATACACATTGCTTTTTGCTTTGCAGAGGTGGAGGGCTATGGAAATGAAAACGTCACATATGCTATGTCTTGGTTAGTTTTGCTGAATTGCTTTTTTCCTCTCCATTTTGTTCTTTGCTATAGAAGATGGATCTCTGGGAGGAGGGATATATTTAGGGGGGAAAGACGTTCAAAAAATCAACAAAAACATTTTAAAAGGGAAAAAATGCTCCAAATCACTAATAATAAGAGAAATGCATATTTCTGCATCTGTGAGGTTTCACATCACATTATCCATAAGATTGGCAAAGATGATAAAAGATAAAAACAGTCAATATTAGAAGGGCTCTGAAAAGAAAGGGAAATTAATACACTGCTGATAGAGCTATGAGCTGTAACAAAGTTCTAAAAAAATAACTTGGAATTGTGTGAGGAAAGCCACTGAACTGTAAATACCCTTTGACCCAGCAATTCCAATACTGGGAACAAATCCCAAAGAGGGTAAGACAGAAAATTCCCACATAAAAAAATACTCGTAATAGCACTTTTCAACAAATATTCTTGTAGTAGTAGCAGCAAAAATCTGAAAACTATGTAGGTACCTATTGATTGGAGAATCCCTAAACAAGTTGTACTAGAATTCTACTGCACTGTAGAAATGACAAATATGAGGAATTCAGAGATGCATGGGAAGACTTTGGGTGAACTGATGCAGAGAGAGGAAAATTGAATCAGGAGTACAAGACACATAATGATAGTAATAATGTAAAAGAAAACATTAAAATTTAGGTTCAATTCAATGACCATCTTGATTGCAGAGAAGAGATGCTGAAACAGATTCCCCTCCTCTCAAAGGAGGAGTGGAGAACCAAGGGTACAGAAAGCTGCATACACTATCAGAAGTGGCTTCTGGGTCAACTGGTTTTGTTTAACTGTTTTTCTGTGTAGGAGAGGGAACATGGTGAGAAGTGAAGAGTGGGGTACTTCGAAAAATAATTACAGTGTAAAAGCAAAAAGCAGCAATAATTGTTTTTAAAGATTCTGACATGCTGGCTTAAAAAACATGGATAACTTTATACTTCATCTATGTAGCACCAAATAAAGTGAATTTTGTCGTTTCTGGTTCCAGTTTTCAAAACTACAATGAAAGAATTCTGATTTCACAAACAGAGAAAAGCATAATAAAAAAATAACTTTCTACTTGAGAAAGATACTTATTGCAAAATATGTAGATGGTTTTACTAAAACATTCTTGAAAATTGTTTTTAAGTCTATTGGAGCAGAACTCAGTACCTTCAAAGAGCAAGAGGAAGGTTTTATACAATATGGTATGTGGACAACTCATTTTTGACACATAAAGTACAATTTACCATTTACACACATAATACTTAGAATTTGACTACATTCATGCACAGCTAGAAGGAATTGAGTCCATACCACATTTGACATATGAGGAAATTAAGACACAGGCAGGGAAGGTGACTTGCCCAAGGTCACAGAGCTAGTAAACGGCAGGACAGAGACTAGTACATAGGTCCTCTGACTCTCAGCCAAATTCCCTCACACTGTATTGCCCTATTTAAATGCTCTTGTCCCTACTTACATACATGTTTCATGGATCATGTTAATGGGATCCCTTTGGGAGGAATCATGGAAAGACTTGGACAATGACCACATAGAGTAAGAGTGCTAAGGAGAGACAATGTGTACTGCAGAGGGAAGACCCAAACTGATGAGGTCATGGGTTGACTGGAGATCTTACCAACAGCCTCCACTAAAATCTTCCTCCAATGCCTTGTCATGGTATAGAAGCAAAACTGGGCTCTACTGAAGGCCATGACAACAGGCTGCAAGTGCTGGCAGCTCCTTCCAAGCTGAAAAGCCTCCAAGTGTGGCACAGGGGCAGCCTACACCTGCTGCTGGAGAAGTATCCCAGCCAAGGGTGAGTGATGAGCCCACGCCACCCCCTGCCAAAGGGAGGCAGACTGCACACAGGCCTCCAGGTCAGTACAGGTGGACAGCTCTCAGGGATTTCACCACCTTAAACAGATGAAATTCATTTCAAGTTGTCTCAAGTCTATTCAACTCTTAGGGTCATAGAGCTGGATGGAGACTTCAGAAATAATCTAGCGCAAATGTTTTACTTGACAGAGGAGGAAACTGAGGCTGAGCTAAGGAAACTGACTTGCCCAATATAGGACAGTGTTATCAGTGGCAGAGTCAAGCCTACAGCCCAGGTTTCTTGACTCAATCTAGTGTTCTATCATATTGTGTATACGTGTGTGTGTGCACCTACATGTTTTGATAGCATTCAAAGGCTTACAAAGAACTTTCCTCACAACCCCTAGTAGCAAACAGTACAAGTATTATGAGGTTCAGTGAGGTGAAGCAGTATGTCCAAGGTCACAAGCTAGTAATCAGCTAAGCAGAGATTGGAACCCAGGTCTTCAGACTCCAAATCCAGTGCTTTTCCCACTATTTCTAGTTAACTTCATTGCTGCAAGAGGGCAAGAACTGATTGCATTTTTTTCCTACTTGCTTTGTTTTGCTAAAATCATGCGGTGGTTTCTATTCCTCTCTTTTCCCATCATTAACTCTAGCTGCAGGCAAGTCTGTCAATGGCAGCTGGTGCTTGTATCATTTATCAGCCAAGACACGTGTTAAACAAATGCAAAAGAGGTGGGTTTTTTTGTTTGTTTGTTTGTTTTCATGGTGCAGTGGAAAGAATGCAGGGCAGGAAATCACAAGACCTGGATTCAAGTCACAATCCTGCCACAAACCCACTGTGTGACTTAGGGAGAATTACTTCTCCTCTCTAGGCCTCAATTTTCCCCTGAAAAATAAAGAATTTGCATTAGATGATCTCAAAAGTACCTTCCAGTTCTAATGAGCATCACATACTGCAAAGAGCACAGGGTTTCGAATCAAAGGATGTAAGTGAGAATCCAAGCTCCACTACTTCTATTTGGGGTGACTTGGGCAGATCACCAAGCAGCTCTGGGCCTCAGTCTCCTCCTGTGTAAAATAAGAAGGCTGGAACAGATGCCCTTAAAGGTCTGTTTCAATTCTAAATCCTATGAATTCTGACTCCATGATGTTATGTGTATATAAATTTGTGTTGCATCAACAAACATCCTTGAATTTGAAAAGAAATGAAGTCAACAGATGAGGATAGGTCAGCATGTTGAAGTTGGGAAGTTTAGTCCTTTATGTACTGTTTCTAAGTTACAGGAAGGAAATGTTTAGTTACAGCAATACTGTTTCCCAGATAACGCCAGACAACACAAAGGAATCACAAAAGGAACAAGTAACTTATATTTCCTCACGATGCCCTTGGCAACCAACTTCTGTTCCAAGTCATCTGCAAGTGCTTCTAAAGTCATCGAGTTGCAACGGGCAGAAAATGAGAGTGATCCAGCAGTAGGAAAAGATGAAGACAGTCTGATTTCAAAAAAAAATCAAGTGCTTTAATTTCTATGGGTCCTCTTCCTGCCTCCTATCACCCTGCAGTGGCCAATCAGGTTCTTCTTTTGTGAATGCCATTTTATATTTAATAACAGAAGTGGCTGGAACTGCAAAGCAATCCCACTGATGAGGTCTTCAAGCTGTGCAATTAGGAGGCCATTCCCTAAATTGGCTCTGCAGTATCGTTGGTATAAAATAAACTAGCTAGATATGGCTGAGGGGCCCAAAGGAAGCAGATATGGGAGATAGTGACCAGCTCTGAGTTTCCATACTCCTGTCTCAAAGGGGCAGATGGTGCTCATGCAAAGGCTCACCTCCACACAGGTGCTGATTATATTCCACCTCCCATGTCTTGAGCAGCACTGGTTTTATAGGCCCCAGGGGTGGCCATCAAGCAAAGGCTTTGGGGATGGGGTAGGAAAGGGTGGGGAATGGTACAGAAACTTCCTTCTATAATTGAGCCTGTCAAATGTTCTCTGGTTCAACAAGCTGGACATGTGCTCCAATGATATCACAACTGCCTTCAGAACCAAATTATAACTCACAAAAGAAAATGAGATTCATTGATTTATAATCAAAAAGTCTTAGGGTTTTGTTTTTTTTTTACTTAGAGGACTTTTTTGTGGGGGCAAGGGTGGAAAAGGAAGAAGAGAAAAGGGTTTTAGAACAGAGAGAGGATGACATAAATAATCTAGTCCAACCTCCTTATTTTGCATATGATTATACTAAGAGGTTAAGTGCCTTGTCCTAAGTCACATGGCAAACAGGCACAAGCAGAATTTAAATCCACATCTCCTGGCTCCAAATTAAGGGCACTTTCAATTATATGACAACTATATTCCCCCCTGCAAATTGCTGATTTTGAGCATATACCTTACTCAACTGATTTGGCTCCAGGTGACTTTCGGCTGTTTTCTTAAACTAACTCCCCTACCCCACATCATAGTAAAGGTTGAGGAGAGTATAGGAATAGGCAAGAAGGTATAGTAGAAAGCCTTGGAGTCAGGAGACTCTGGCTCTATTCCTATCCCTGCTACTAACTCAATGGAGCAAATGACTTCAACTCTTTGTGTTTTAATTCTTCCTTCAGTTGAATGCATGGCTTAGATTAGACGTTCTCTAAGGCAGTGGTGTCAAACTTGAATAGAAACCTGATCCCTGTGGGCCCCATACTGACTTAGAAATCCACAAATTAACATTTCTCTATGCTATACTTTACTTTGTTAAATACTTCCCAATTACATTTTAATCTGGTTGGAGAAGGGGATGGGGGCAGGGAGGAGGTTGACACCTCTGTTCTAAGATCTCATCCAATTCTATGAATCTATGATTTTCAATACATTATATAATGAATGGGCCTGGTGTTCCGCATAGGTTGAGTTCATACTGTGGAGATGACAATGGAATTTAGGAAGTAAAGAAGGAAAGAGTTTTATAGAATTTAGACCTAAAAAAGGGAAATCTGAAACTGTAAGGAACTCTCATTTTGTAAACAAAGAAAGTGGGACCTAAAAGAGTGAAGGGACTTGCCAAAAGATGCACAATTAGTAAGCAGCAGAGCTCGGACTTGGAATTAAGTCTTCTGCCTCCACAGTCAGTGCTAGTTTCCTTACTTGGCCTCAAAAAGACTGATGCCTTCTCTCTATTTTCAAATGGTCCATTTGGTCCAATTAGAAGGCAGTATTAATGATACACAGACAGCTAGACAGCTCAATAGAATGCTGGGCCTGGAGTCAGTCTTTGTGAATTCAAATTTGGCCTCAGACACTTACTAGCTGTGTGACCCTGGGCAAGTCACTTAACTTCTGTTTGCCTTAGTACACTGGAGAAGGAAATGGCAAACCACTCGAGTAGTTTGCCAAGAAAACTCCATGGACAGTGTGGTTCATTTGGTCATGAAGAGTTAGACACAACTGAACGACAACAATTAATGATGTACTTCACACCACTACGCTGTCCTATAATCAGCCAAATGGAAACTGAGCAGCATCAAGAATATTTTTCTTTATTTCCCTCCACCCCTGCAGGTTACCAGTTTTTCTAAATGTTTATTCTATTCTGTCTTCTGCTTGAACCTGAGAAAGTGATGGGGGCAGGGAAAGAAATGCTTCCTTCTCCTCTTGATCTAGCCTTTCTGCCTTCCTCCCCACTCCACCTTCAGCCTGCATGGAACTTTTGAGCAATGCAATCTTACCTCTGGGAAATTGGTCATGTTTACTAAAATCAGCTGAGGTGATTTCAGGGAGATTTGGCCGATCTGATTTAGAGCAAACTTCCCATCGCCAGTTGTCACAGTTATGTGATCCAGGGACCCTGAGAGAGAACATTCCACATTTCTCCATTACCTTGTATTACTTGGTGTAGGCTTTATTTTCACTTACTTGTACACATGTTGTAGTCCCTCCCCTCAATCCCTCCCCCCAGGAAAAAAAAAAAAAACAAGACAACAACATAAACTCCTAAAAGGCAAGGACTATTTTGATTTGAGCTTTGTATCCCCCTGGCACTCAGCACAGTTTTTTGAACATAACAGACACAGAAAAGTCTGAATTAAACTGAATTGTTGCCATTTCAAACTAATCTCTGTACTGAGTCACCACCAAGCTCACTTTTGGAAAATACCAGTGCAAAGCTTGACAATGGCAAAAACCGTCACAATTATTTACACTTTAGTACTTCACAGACTGGTGATTTCATTAGGACTGGGGTTCTCTCCCCCAACATAGATCATGGTTCCTCCAATTTTGGCCAGTCTTCTGGTGATTTCTCTCCAAACTTTAACTGGTCCTCAGATACCAGCCTTTGTCTGTCACTGAGCATATCCCCAAAGTCCTTCTACCTTGGATTGACCTACCCAAACTTATACTTTGCTGGCACAGCTGTAAAGCATCAAAGATAGTTTTTTTTTTTTTTTGGTAGAAGTACATCTATATTCAAAAGCCAGAAAAATGTTTTTCCAAATTCCCTGATTTCCTGTGCAAAATACAACTACAACACATATAGTAGGGATCATTTGCTGTTGACATCTCTTGTGACTCAGAGAGAGCTGAACAAAGCAAAAATAAATAAATAAATAAATAAATAAAGGTCACATGCAACTACATTTTAGACTACCCTGGTCCCCTTATGTTATTATAATTCAGTACCTTGCCAGGGACATAAGATCTGAGCTGAAGACTTAATCTGAAATGTTGCCTTCATCAAAAGAATGGGGACCACTGCTCTGAGTGAGTTTAGCCATTACAAAGGACTTTGCTAGTATAAAAGGAAATGAAGGAGAAAAAAAATCTGGTCAATAGATTGATGATGAAAAGGGGTTTGAATGTACCCTATGCATTGAGGGGGCTCCAATTCCACTAGGCTAATTGAATATCATGGTGAAACAAAAAAGAATGCCATACTCAGAATCAAGAGCTCTGGCATCACCAGTCCTATGAATAGTGAGCAACTGACTTCTCCCTTAGATTCCTCAGCTGTAAAATTGAGATAATTATCTATGCACTTGTCCATGGTGTGGTAGAAGGAACAGAACTGGGAAATACAGAATCACTGAATTTCAGAGATAGAAGGAATTTCAGATGCTATCTAGTCCAGCCCATACCCCAAAATAATACCAACTACAGTATCTAATAGTTGGCTATCTATTTTCTGCCTGAGAAGGAACCCCTTCCAAGACAGTCCATTCCACTTCTGAACAGTTCTAATTGTTAAGAAGATCCTCCTGATATCAAGCCTAAATCTGCCTCTGTTTCTTCCACCCACCACTCCTACGTCTGACTTCTGTGGTCACAGAGAACAATTCTAACTACTCTCTTCCACAAGACAAAGGTTCAAACCCTGGAACACAATTATCATGTTTCCCCTCCACTGGGACTGTTCTTATCCCATTCTTTCAACCAATCCTTTTACAGCATAAGCTCCAGGCCTTTCACCCATCCTGGCTGCCCTTCTCTGGACCGTTTCCAGCTTATCACTGATCTTACTAAATTGTGATGCCGAGAAACAAACACAATATCCTAGTTGTGGTCTGATCAAAACAGAATACAGCAGGATATCACCTTCTTCTTCTCAGAAGCTATGTTTGTCTTAATGTAGCCCAAGATTGAATTAGGTTTTCTTGATGACACAGCACTAGTGACTTATACTGAGCTTACAATCCCCTAAATCCCCTAGTTCTTTTTCAGACAAATTGCTAACCATGACTCCTTCCATACAATACTTGTAAAGTCTACTCTTTTTTTTTTGAAAGCAATTGGGGTTAAGTAACTTGCCCAGGGTCACGCAATTAGTAAGTATCCAAGGCTAAAATTGAACTTTGGTTCTCCTAACTCCAGAGACAGTGCTCTATCCACTGTACCACCTAGCTGCCCCTAAAGTCTGCTTTTTTGAACCCAAATGTAAAACTTTACACTTACTCCTATTATATTTCATCTTATTAGGTTCAGCCCAGTGATCTAGCCTGTTGAGATCTTTTTGGATCCCAGCTCTGTCATCCAGGGAGTTAGCTATCCTCCAAGCTTTGTGTCATATATGCCTTTATCCAAGTCATTAATATAAATGTTAAACAGCACAGAGACAAGCACAGATCTCTGTGGCACTGTACTGGAGACCTCCTGCCAAGCTGTCACTGAACCACTAAGGGCTGCTCTTTTGAGTCTGGTCACTTACCAAACTCCAGTTCAATCTAACTTTACTATTCTCTAATCTACCTCTGCCCATCTTTTCCACAAGAACAGGAGGAAAGATTTTATCAAATGTTTTGCTTAAAAAAAAAATAGGTCAGCTACATCTTCAATGTTCTTTTATGCACCAGATTAATAACTCTTTCGAAAAAGGTAATGAGGCCTACGATGTGTTCTTGATGCAAGCCTGCATCACACCTTTCTTTCACAGATGTTGGCTAACCATATCTCTAATAATGTTCTAGATATCTGCCAGGAATTGAAGTTAAGGTCACTGTCCTATGGTTTACAGACTCCATTCTCTTCCCTTTTTTGAAAACTGGAACATCTAACCTGCTCCAGTCCTGCAGCCCCTTTCCTGTTCTCCAGTCATTCAGATATTATTAACAGTGGCTCAGAAATCACATATGCTAGTTCTTTCAGGAATAGAGGAGGTAGTTTATCTGGGTCAGGTGTCCTGAATTCATTAAAGGCCGATAACATGCTCTCTAATTATTTCTTTATTATTTATTTATTTACATCTTTTAAGTCATTTCTGTCCTGTCTTCTCCAGTGCAAAGATCACTTTCCTTGGCAGAGAAAACAAGCCAAATAAGAATTAGGCAGCTATACTTTCTTTATGTAATCAGTTACCCTTGTCCCATTCACTCCAAGCAATGGTTCTTCTCTTTTCTCCAATATCACTTTTAAAACAACAACAACAAGAACAACTTATTCGTGTCCTTATTTTTCCTTGCCTGCATCATCAGCTCTAAACCTGCTGTTACAGTGCCATAAGGTCACTTCCTGGCTGTCTGCCTAACAGCTGCCATGCTACTGAATGCCTACCTTTTACTCCTCTCTTGTCCAGTTCTAGAATATAATCAAATCAATTCTGTCACTGCTCCTGAAGAGGATGTGTCCATCTAAAGCCTCTGTGGCTCCACTCCCCATTCCTGCCATTTTCAAACCAAAATATCCCTCCCTGACCACCACTCTCCTAGATGTTTTTCCTCCCCCAAACTGTAACATCTAATGGCCTTTCCTAAATGCTCATTCTCCTTGACCTCTCAGCCAGCCTCTGACACTGTGGATCACTCTCTTCTCCTTGATACTCTCTTCTCTCTAGGTTTTCGTGACACTGCTCTCTTCTAGTTTTCTCCTTCCTATCTGGCCACTTCTCGTTCTCCTTTGCTGGATCCTTATCCAGGCCATGACCGCTAAGTATGAGAGTCCATAAAAGCTTTGTCCTGGACCCTCTTCTCCCTCTATATGATTTTGCTTGATCATCAACTCCCATGGATTCAATTATCATCTCCATGCGGACAACTGTCAGATCTATTTATCCAGCCATAACCTTTCTCCAGACCTCGTTTCCTCTCTCTTGACCTCCACTTTCCCATCAGACATTGAGAACTGGATGTACTGTAGACATCTGAAACTCAACATATCCAAAAATGAACTCTGTGTCTTTCCCCCCAAATCCTCTGCTCTTCCTAACTTCCACCATTCTGCCAGTGACCAAGGCTCAGAACCTAAGTGTCATCTTTGACTTCTCTCAGTCCCTCACCCCCACTATACAATATGTTGCCAGGTCCTACCAACTGTAGAACTGATAGGATTGGAAGGTAGCTTCCAACATCTCTCATACATGCCCTCTTCTTCCCTCTGACCTTGTTACCACTCTGACGTCAGTCCTCATCACCTCATGCCTGCACCACTGCAAAAGCCTTTAAGTCAGCCTCCCTGCCTCAAGTTTCTCCCTACTCTAGTTCATCCTCCACTAAGGTATCAAAGAAAACCTTTCTGAAGCACAGGTATGACCATTTTACTCCCCTATTTAACAAACTCTAGTGGGTCCTTATTGCCGCCAGGACCAAAAGTAAAATCCTTTGTTTGACTTCTAAAATCCTTCATAAAATCCTGGCCCCTTCTTACCCTTCCAGTCTTCTGACACCATACTCCCCTCCATATATTCTATGATCTACTGACACTGGCCTCCTCACTGTTTCTCACACAAGACGTTCCATCTCCCAACTCTTGGGTCTTTTCACTGGCTTTCCCTTATGCCTGGAATTCTCCCCCTCCTCATCTCAGCCTCCTGACTTCCTTCAAGTCTCAACTAAAATCCCAACTTCTGCAAGGAGCCATTCCTTGTCCTCCTTAATGTTAGCGCCTTCCCTTTAAGATGATCTCCCATTTTTACTGTTAAATATGTTGTTTGTACAAAGTTATCTATATATTGTCTCCTCAATTAGACTGTAAGCTCCTTAAGGGCAGGGACTAGTTTTGTCTTTCTTTGTATCTCTGGACTCAGGACAGTGGCTGGCATATAGTTGGTGCTTAATAAATGCTGGTTTACTTGACTTCAGGGCAGGGACTATCTTTTGCTTTTGTATTTGTATCTCCAGTACTCAGCACATAGTAATTGCTAATTTTTCATTCATTCCTTCATTTATTTCCTACTTTGCATTAATTCTCTGTATTAATTACCTGTCCTTGTATCTATCCTCTAAATGTCTTTTTAAAATCTAAGTTGATTAGCAGGTTCTCCATGCACCCATATTGGTTGTCTGAAGAGACCAATATGCGTGTACATCAGAATTGTTCCCCCTGTAAGTCAGAGCTTGAGTTCAAATGCTGTATGTCATCTTGAGTAAATCAATTCACCTCTCTTAGACTCATTTTCTCATCTAAAATGAGAGTTGCTAATGATCTTTTAAGATTCCTTTTGGCTCTGAAACCTATGATCTTACCTCATAGGAGTATTTTGAGGAAAGAACTGTAAATTGTCAAGCTGGTGCCAGTGTGAGCTCTTATTATTATTATTACTACACAAAAATCATTCAGAAAATTAAGAAGGCGAAGGGAGAAATGCTTTCTGGTGCATCTTAATTTCACTCTGCTTATTTGTCATGAGATTCTTTGCCGAAGAAAGTACTTCGGTGATCTTGGTGGAAGTCTTTTTAAGCAGCATGGTGTGGTGAGAAGAGTAAGGAATTTGGAGTCAGGACACCTGGATTCAAGACCCAGTTCCAACACAAACTAGCTGTGACATCAGTGACAAGTCACTTAATTTCCATGGACCTTAATTTTCCCACTTGCAGACAAGAGTAGTAATCCTTGTCCCCTTACCTCAAAGGTCTGGTGAAAGGAAAGCACTTTATAAACTTCAAAGTACCACACAAACAGGTGTAATTTTTAGTCTACACTGATGACTGTTATCACCCCTTAATGCCTATCCATAGCATATTAAATTCTTCCCTGTCATCAATCCCCAGCAAAGATCTTGCTCACCTACTCCTCTTTTCTGCCCTTCACATTCCCTGAGGTTAACATTTAACAAACTAAACTCAATGGCCTCTCTCTGCCAGTCCAGCAGATCTTTTCTGGTCAAGTGGAGGAGAATTTACTGGCCAATTTTAGGTATCATATTTCTTCCAGAGCTCTCCCTCTACTTGCTCTCTGATTTTAACTACAGAATGTTGGCAGATAAAACACACCAGGGGAAGGGGCCACCTTTTATTCATTTCATAACAAAAACAATAAATAGGGTTAAAGTAAATAGTTAAAGAGATTGAATGGCATACTCTCCTGTCAGCAAAGACAGCTATGTTCCAGCTGACAAAGGTTGACAAAGGAGAAGAATGGTCTTCTTGCTCAACACTGGTTGTATCTTACAGCTCAGTGTGTATATAATGATGTTTACAAATGGAACCACATGTTTTTCTCTTTGTTTGCTCAAGAGCAACTGAATAAAATATTTTCAAATTTCTTATATAAAACAGTCTGTCCTGAAGGGGAATGGAAGGAGGGATTCCTGCCCAAACTCCCTCACCTCCAGAGATGCCAGTGAGCCTGACACTAGGCTGATGACAATTTCCAAAAGGCTCATTTAGTGGAAATTGGATTTTTCCTGCCTTGCTAACGTGTAAGCTGACAACTTGCCTCTTCGTCACATCTGCAAACAGTTCTCATAGACATTTCTGACATTTCCCACTTACAAAAAGCCATTTTCAGGAAGTTATTAACCCAAACGGATTCTTCCTGGTCAAGCCCAGGATGTAAAAACTCTTTAGCTGGAAATTTCAAGGTTATAGTCATTCAGTTCCCAGTGTGTGTTGAAAAATAATAAACCAGAAGAAATCTGAGGATGCAGATCAAAGCTCCTGGTTCTAATTACATACTGTGTGGCACATAAAAACCTGAGTTCAAATCTTATATCTGAAACATACTGGCTGTGGGGTCAAGTAACTCAACTTTTCAGTGGTCTGGGCAACTCCCTAATACTAGAAATTGCAGAGGTAGAGAAAGTTTCCTCACCCCAGAGTTCCCTATATCAATGAAACCACAGGTTAAGTCCCTATCCCTATGTATTCAATTTAAAGCAATAACATATTATAAAATGGATAGCAATATATTTGTTACTAACCTGGAGAAGTCCTTATATTGAGATTTTTGTTGAAACTATCCTTAAGGGCTTCTACCACAGACTTCATTTCCACATTTACCTCTTCCAGACAGATTATGTCCTCCACCAAGGATGCATTAATGTTGACTCGGGGTTGGGGATGTCCTTTACCTTTGGCTAGGAATCAAACACACAATGAACACAGGCAGTAGCAGCATCACTAACATCAACAAACACTGGAATTTTATTTCTTTAGAATGTAAAATCTGGGGCAGCTAGGTGGCGCAGTGGATAGAGCACCGTCCCCGGAGTCAGGAGGACCTGAGTTCAAATCCAGCCTCAGACACATAATACTTACTAGCTGACCCTAGGCAAGTTACTTAACCCCAATTGCCTCACCAAAAAAAAAAAAAAAGAATATAAGTTCCTTGAGGGCAGGAACTGATTTTGCTTTTTCTTTGTACCTTCAGTGCTTAGAACAGTTCCTGACACACAGTAATCCCTTAATAAATGCTTGTTAATTGGTTGACTGGGCTCAGAATCAAGAGACCTTGAGAGACATCAGACCTAGTCTGGGTTTCAACTCTGCCCCTTAATATCTATATATTAAGCAAATCATTTCCCCTTACTGAGCCTCAGTTTCTTCATCTGCTAAATAAGGAAAGTAATAACCTGCCAAAGAAGCAGTGTGGTATGGCAGATAAAGAGCCAAACTCAGAGTTGGGAAAACCTGGATTCAAGTCCCACCAATGACACTTCCTGGTTGTGACCCTGGACAAGTCACTCAACCTTTTAGTGCCCCAGGGAATTCTCTAGGACTTTAAATTGCCAAACATTTACTGATGGCTACTAGTAGAAGCAGCTAGTTTATACAACAGAGCTCCCTGTGCCAGTGAAACCACAGCTCCAGATAAAAAATAAAATAAAATAAAATAACTGTCCTCCCCACCCTCCAGGGATTTTTGGTAAAGAAAACACTTAGTAAACAGTAAAATACAAAGGAAATTTCATTTCTTGTCAGGGATGATCTAGAGGTGATTTTTGTTCAGATATAGGCCTGGAGTCAGGAAGACCTGACTTCAAATCTGGTCTCAGATACTTATTAGTGGTATAACCCTGGGCAAGTCACTTAATCATGTTTACCTCAGTTTCCTCATCTGTAAAAACAGGGGATAACAACAGTACCTACCTTGAAAGGTTGTTGTGAGGATAAAATGAGATCATAAATGTAAAGCTCCTGGCATAGTGCCTGGCACGTAGTAAGTGCTATATAAATGTTAGCTGTTATTAAGATGTGAGACTTCACATAAAAGCTATTCTGTATTCTATTATTCTAACATTCTGCGGCTTAGGGTCCCTTCCCACTCCAGCACTGAGTTCTAGAATTGCTTTCCATTTTAATATACTATGTTCTATTGCTCCAATATTCTATATGCTAGGGTTTCTCTCAGTTCTAACAGACTCTGTTCTAACTCTATAAATAATGAACTATAATTATCATCACGAACTATGGTCCTTCCCAACTCTGTTCTGCTGTGTTATTTCTATGACTGTATCTGAAAACAAAAAAAAAAAAAGAAGAAGAAGAAGAAGAGAAGGATTAAGGTATGGTTTCCATACCTTTGGCTTTCTTGGTAGCAAAATGTCGGATGGGCACAGTTAGATAGGCCCCACATTGCTGGCCGTCATTCCAGGTCACACTCGTATTTCTCAGCCTAACTTCTGAAACAGGCTTTGTCAAGACTGAAAGAGAGTTGCAAAACCCAGGCTGCACCCAACGAAAGCATCTTAGTCCCAAAGCCATGGTTCAAAACAGTCCTTGAGAAATCACCTATGAAAGAAAGAAAAGCCTTTCACAGATATGAAATAAGCAGTGAACACTGAGGCAAGAGGCCATTCCAGCAACCTGAACCTTGTTGACTATAATGAAATGCTTATGTGGAAAAAATATACAAAATTGTGACTATGCTGTACTGTAAACAGAGAGTACAGATTATAGGAGGTAGGTTTTAAGCTGATTTTTTTAAAACCCTCAACAGGCACAAAATGATGGGAAAAATTACATGACAGCTTTTAATTAAAATTGTCTTCTGCTCCATATGCACTGATTGCAAATTAGAATGTACTTTTCTTTGCTATGAATCTAAAGCATGGATCAGATCTGAGGCTTTTAATGTTACTGGTGCTAGAGCTCTGGAAGATGCCATTCTCCTCTGTGAACACAAGTTACTCATTATATTTCTATAGTTTTAAACCCTCAAAGATTTTCCAGCCTGCAGCTACCTCTGTGATAGAACTACATAATTGTTGAATAGCAATGTTGCATTCATAGCTTCAGAGAGAAAAGGGGGCTCTCACACAGCTGGGGAAGGCAAGGAGATAATATAACTTAGTGGGTATTTTGTTCATTTGACAAATATTTTTTGAGCACCTGCTATGTGTAAGGCACTGTTTTAGATGAATAAATTAGCCAACACCCTGAGTCTGCTATCTTTACCAATTAGTTCCAGTTTTCATCTATAGACTCCCTCTCAAAATAAATGAGTCCCTCTAAAGAAGGAATGTGATAAAGTGTAAAAGGATGACAATTGGGAAACCTGGGTTCGAGTTCTGGTTATGCCACTCACTAATTATGTCCCCCTAATAGCCATTCCCCTTCTCAGGGCCGCAGACTCCTTATCCGTAAGATGATCTCTAAGGCAACTTCCAGTTCTAACATTCTCTGTTCCAACATGTCATATTCTAAAGTCCTTTCTATTTAGAACTTTTTTTAATGCCCCAGGTTTTTTCTTTCAAAGACTCATATTTCAGTGTAAGTCAAGTACAAGTCATACAGATCTATGATTTCAGAGTGGGAGATTCTTGGATGGCAATCCATCTATGACTTAGTAGCTAGGTCCTTAAGAGGTTGCTGCCTGAGGAACATAGACGTTTCAGTAACACACACAGATTCACAAAACAAGTGTCAAGATGACCCCAGGTCTTCCAGATTCCAGCCCAACACTCTACCCTCTCTGCCATGCTGCTTTTAATAGTCACCATTAATTAAAAAATATATTTTTTTGATTGCATGGCCTTTCCAGAAATGCAAACTAATGGGTTAAACATGAATAGTTTCTCCTCCTGTTACTATGAACACATGAATTTTGTAAAAGTAATTAGCATTTCCTTAGCAGCAAAGGATGCAGGATCTTGCCCAGCTATGCAAAGAGCCAATAGGAACAAATTCTGTCGGGAATTTACACCACCAGGTACTAGCAGTAACCCTGCTCTATCTTAGCAGAGCTCTATGTAAAAGGTTGGCTTTGGGTGAGGTTTCTATATCTGGGCTTCTGCCAAATATGGTCACTGTTTAACCCATACCCATGTCCATATATGGGCTTCTAATTATGTGCAGGGGTTTTTGGGGGGGGCAGGGGGAGGTGTTAGTGAAAAGAAAAATTGTTTGAATTTTTTTCATCTATCATGTGCCTCAATCTGCCTGCTCAATTTGAGACAAGCTTCCTGGTCTCCCTGTTTATGAGTCATAATAGAACGCAGTATAGCAATAAAAACTAGAATTGGGTTAGAAATAAACAACCTTTGAAAGAAAATGCAGAGCCCAAAAGTAGAACTAGTACAAGAGAGCCGGAAAATAGCCTCTATAAAAAACCTGCATTACTGCAACATTTAAGGCTAAGATTTTAACTGCACATAAGTCAAAAAATTTGAAAGGAGAATCCCAATAACGTTACTAGCTTGTCAAGTACACAATGACACATTATTATATAGCAGACTAAAAACAATGTTTAATTACCCACGCAAAAAGAAAGAATTGTAGGAGATTTTTTTTTTTAAAATAGTATATCGAAATTAAAAGAGACCTTGTAATAACATTTTAGAAAATAGAACAAGCACTGGCTGAGGAGTCCAAACACCTTGATTCAAATCTCAGCGATGCTATCTACTTCTTGTCTGTGTAACACTGAACAAGGAAGTCATTTCATTGAGTCTCAGTGTTTTCCTCTCAAATTATTTCTAAGGTCCCTTCCAACTCCAAAGCCTGTGAAATTTAATCATATAAGAGATGGAAATAACCTTACAAAACAATGTTAAATCTGGAAGGGATCTTGCAAAAAAAATAGAGGTAATGGGATCTCAGAACATAGAACATTAGAACTTTAGAGCTGGAAATGCCCTTAGACATAAAATGTCAGAAAAAGTAAATGTCAGATCTGAAAGACATCTCAGAACATAGGAGGTTGGAACACATACAAATGCTAAAAGGGACCTCAGAACATGGAATCTTAGGTTCACTGATTTAGAGCTGGAATCATCCCCCTCAGCCCCTTTGTGTTTTAGAAGAAACGGAAGTCCACAGAAGTGAAGAGGCTTACCCAAGGCCTCACAGCTACTGGGCAAGACCCCATGCCTCCCATGCCATAGGCTAATGATCTTTCTACTATACTTCTCTGCTTTCCAGGTGTCACTTCCAAAGAAGTTCAACTTGTTACCATTTTGCTACACATAGCATTTTCTTTATACATTTTTAAAAAATCAAGACCAACTTTCAAAAAAACTCTTCTCTAAAATCCTTATTCCTAAATCATTCTTCCTCCTCTTCTAATCCTTTTTACCAACGGGGCAGATGTGGACCTATATCACTGCCTGACTCAAGTTTCACCTTCTTCCTTTCCCTCATTTTCCAATGAAGTGTTCAATAAGTTAAGAAAATAGGAAGAGACAAATAATAAGGTGGCTAAGGAATCTAAAAGAACCCAGACAGTCAAGTTGTCTTCTGAGCATCATTAGGATTATCCAATTTCAGTTTTCAACTAAGAAACAAGTTCTCATCAGAAAGACTCTGTTAATGGTAGTTTTTCCAAGTTTCTGAGCAATTGGTAAAGGAAGTAAGACAGGGTCCGTTGGAGGGGAAAAGTTCATGACTAACCAACAAAATAATATTAATACCTAGGCACTAGGCACTGAGGTTACAAAGATAAAAATGAGAGGCAGCTAGGTGGCGCAGTGGATAGAGCAACCGGGCCCTGGAGTCAGGAGAACCTGAGCTCAAATCCGGCCTCAGACACTGGACCCTGGGCAAGTCACTTAACCCCGGGCAAGTCACTTAACCCCATTGCCTAGCCAAAAACAAAAAAAACAAAAACAAAAAAAGGCAAAAAAGAAATAGTCCCTGTCCTCAGGAAATTTACTTTCTACTGGAGAAGACAACAACTACATATATAAATAAACATATTTTAAAATATACAAAACACATAAGGTAATTCAGGAGGGGAGGGAGGCATTAAGAGCTAGGGGAACCAGTAAAGGCCTCACATAGGAAATGATGTTTGAGCATTTCTGAAGGAAACTAGGGATTCTAAGAAATGCATTATAGTCACTTGTGAAGCGAAACACAGAAACGCGATGTCTGTATTCATATATTCAGCAGAGGACTGTAAAAAACCTGGCTCCAGATCTGCCTTTCCATCAAGTCTGGAACAACCTGAAGCAGCATCTCTTGCCTGGTCCCTCTCATCATTCAGTTCTTTTTGTAGAGGAGGAATTCTTCAGGGTACCACTGCCAATTTCATATAAACAAGGCTTTTTGGATCCATTTTGAATGGATCTGAAGAAGTTTCGAGAAGACAACTCAGCCTAACTTGATTGCAGAGGTGGGAGGCCAGTGGAAGTGGTACATTGCATACATTTACAGATTTTTTTTTTGATGTGCTGATCAGTTTTGCTTTTTTTTTCTTTTCCAATTTTTGCCCCTCCATAATAAATATCATTTATTATGTGGAATGGCTTTCTGAGGGTGTGGAGGAGGAATACTAGGAGAAATCCTGGTGATGGGGGGAGATAAAAAAAAAAGGAAAAAATATGCTTTAAAGAAGGCTACCATCCTTGTAAACAGTATGATTGAAATTATTTCTATGTATCTGACTATGCTTTAAATGCTTTAAATGTATCTATGTTTCTGACAATGCTTTAAAATAGATGGTCATTTGAAAAAAAAAAAGAAAAAAAAGAAATAAGATGTCTGGCCCAGGCAGTTTTGAGAACAGCAAGATCTGTTTGGCTGCAGCAGAGTGAAAGAACATATGAATAACATATAAGAAGTCTGCAAAGTATGTTGGAGTATGAAAAATGATCACCTCCATTGGCTTTAATCTCCTCACATATAAAATGAGGGTATTAGACTTCATTATCTCCAAGATCCCTGCCGTCTAAAGCAAAGAATTTGGAGCCAAAGTATATGACTTAGGACAACAAGGTCGATAACAACAGTTAACATATCACTTTAAGCTTTACAAAGGACTTTACATACATTACTGTAGAAGTAGAGGTACGGTAGGTATCACCATCTCCATTTTACAGGTGAGAAAGCTAAGGTGAAGAAAAGTCCAAGTGACTGCCTGAGTAACTTATCCACACACCAAGTAAGTATCAGAGGCATAATTTCAAGTCAGGTCTCTCCTGACTCCCAGACCAGCACACTTGGCACTACATCACCTCTAATAACTTAAATGATGGGATTGAACTGGATGAGCCCTAGAGGTGAAAAGAACCATGCAACCAATCTGAGTGGGTCCACTACAAATTTATGTTATACATCCTCAACTGGGCCCTCACTGCTACTAGATAATTCTTCCATACCTGCCTTATCAACTCACTACCCCACTTTCCACAGAGACTTCCAAACTTTTTCATCCCTCCTCAAACCTTCGCATGGCTTCCCCTCCTTGAACTCTCTCAGGTGAGAACCCCATTCATACTTTACAGATAAAAATTGAGGCCATTCACTGTGAGCTCCTTCTTCTCCCCTCTACATCATCTCCTATCACTCATATAGTGGCCTTCTGCCACTATCTCCTTCTTTACCTTTGTCTCACAAAATTCAATGGCCTTTTCTCAGTCTTCATTCATTTCAACCTCTCTGTAGCTTGTGAAACTATTTTTTTTTGGCAGCCAAAAACAAGGTTTATTGAAGATTTGCCATATTAGCTAGACTCTTAAGGAATCTGAGCATCTATGGGCTATTGGCTAGATTCTAAGAATCAGAGCGCTTTTGAAACTATTAATCACTCTTCTCCTTGATACTCTCTTTTCTCTAGGTTTTCCAGACACCACTCTCCTGGTTCTCCTTTTAGCTAGCAGACGGCTCCTTCTCAGTCTCCTTTGCTGGATCCTCCTCCAGATCATGCCCTCTAACCATAGGTGTCCCGCAAGGTTCTATCCTAGGTCCTCTTCTCTTCTTCCTCTATACTACTTCACTTGGTGATTTCATCAGTTCCCATGGATTTAATTACTACCTCTATGCTGATGATTCTCAGATCTACCTAGCCTGCCCCAACCTCTCTGTTGACCTCCAAACTTTCATCTCCAACTGCCTTTCAGACATCTCAAACTGGGTATTCAGAAAACATCTTAAATTCAACATGTCCAAAACAGAACTCATCTTTCCACCTAAACTCTCCCTCCCTTCTACTTTCTCTATTATTGTAAAGGGCACCATCATGCTCCTAGTCTTGCAGGCTTGAAACCGTGGAATCAGCCTTAGCTTCTCACTGTCTCTCACTGCCTATATCCAATCTATTGCCAAGGCCTACAGATTTCACCTTTGCAATATCTCTCACCCCTTTCTCTACTCTGACACTTTCCACCACTCTGGTGAATACCCTTGTCACCTCATACCTGGATTACTGCAATAGCCTGCTGGTAGGTCTGTCTGCCCAGTGGTCTCTCCCCACTCCAATCCATCCTCCATTCAGTGATTTTCCTGAAGCATAGGTCCAACAATGAAACCATCAATAAACTCCAGTAGTTCCCTATCACCTTCAGGATCGAATACAAAATCCTCTTTTCGCTGTTCAAAGCTCTTCATAACCTAGTCCCCTACTATCTTTCCAGTTTTTTTTATACCTTACTTCCCAACATGTACTCTTCAATCCAGCGACACTGGCCTCCTGATTGTTTCCTGAACAAAACATTCCATCTTTCACACGTGCACATTTTCTTGGGTTGTCCCCCACACTGGAATGGTCTCCTTCCTCATCTCCATCTACTATCTTCCTTGGGTTCCTTTAAGTCTCAACTAAACTCTCATCTTCGATAGGAAGTCTTTTCCAAACCCTCTTAATTCTAATGCCTTCCTTCTGCTAATTATTTCCTATTTCTCTTGCACATAGCCTGCTTGTATATATTTGTTTGTTGCCTCCTCCATTAGATAGCGAACTCCTTGAGGGCAGGGACTGTCTTTTAAAACTCTTTTTTTTATTCCCAAAGCTCAGCAAATAGTAGGCACTTAATGTTAACTAAATGAGAGAGTCTCATTTCTAGCACCAATCACATGATTCTAAGATCCTTACTAGAGACTGGTAGAAAATTATAACTTTCTTGGATTTTAATGCTCTAGGTCAGAGGTTCTCAAAGTGTGGTCCCCCTGGAGGGGAAGGTGTCCCCCAGGTCAAAACTATTTTCGTAATAATACTAAGATGTTATTTTCCTATTAAAATACTTTTTTTTCCAACTATGCATCTGTTTGAGGCAAGATTTCTTCAAATACTACAACCATAACATATCCTGGCAGACTGAATGCAGAAGCAGATATGAGAATCCAGCTGTCTTCTATTAAGCCAAATATTAGATTTGCAAAAACTAAGCAAAACAATGCCATTCTTCTCACTAGATTTTTTCTTGTTTTGGAAAATATATTTTGCATTAATATTATTTAGGCTAACACATAATGGGTTTGTTATTGCTATTTTGAAATGAATTAGACATTTTTAAATTTTCTTTTAACTTCTAATACAGTATCGACAGACATAACCTACATAAATAAAAGACCCTCGCGGTCCTCAACAATTTTTAAGAGTGTAAAATGTTTTGAGAACCGCTTCTCTAGGTCACGGATTAGGTATAAAATCCACTCCTAACCCTCAGCCTAGTTCCGTGAGTGACAAACACCGCCCCCTTCTCCCTAGACCCTCCGTAGAGAACACAGACCCCGCCCCAGCCTCGATCTGAAATAACAGACCCCGCCCCAGCCTCGATCTGAAATAACAGGCCCCGCCCCCCAGCTCAGGAGTCTTCTAAATACAGGCGAAGCCCCGCCCGCACTCCCAGCCTCACTATAGGGCGACAAGCTCCGCCCCTCACGCAAAGGTCAAATCGAACTCTTGGGGGTCGAGGTGGGGGGGTGGAGAAAGACCGGGAAATTGGGCGTGGTAATGCTTTGGACCCTGAAGCCTGCTCCTTTCGGGGCTTGAGCTCCTGAAAGCGCGTCCCTGCCTCTCTGCCTCGGCCGCGATCCCACCTGCCCAAAAGCGAAGGTGGGCCGAGGCTCGGACTCACCGGCTATGGCTTCCGCTGCCGGGGAAACGAGCTTCGGTGCTGGTCATACGTCATCAACGCAGGCCTGTGACGTCACGAAGCGGCGCAACTTGCGCAGGCGCATTTCTGGTGGCTGTGGCGGAGTCAAAGAGAAGAAGAGAGGTCGGGGTCCGGGCCTGGAGGTTGGAGTCAGGTGGTGGAATCCCGAGCTGAAGCCGCCTTGCGGCGGGAGGAGCCGAGGGGATCAAGCCTGAGCCCAGAGGGTGAGTTGAGGCCCGCCGGGAACTCCCCCGCTGATTGTCAGCCACCTCCTCCTCCTGCCCTTCCCATGCCGACTGCTCCTCCTTGCCCCCCACGCTCCTACCCCCAACCCGGCTTATCCCCCTGTCCTCTGCCCCTCCTATACCCCCTTATGGCGGCTTCCACGCACAGTTCCCTTTCCCACTCCATCTTCACCTCCTCCCTTTCTCTTCAGTTCAGTTCCCCAAGCATTTATTATATATACACCTTTTCTCCGCCACCCCCGTCTTTATTACTGCTGTGTTCTCCTACACTTTCCTACCCTTCAAATGCTGTTCCCAGTCTCCCTAATATAGCACACTGCTCTGAATGGTCTTGGCTCCTTTTACATCATCCTTTTTTTTTTTTTTTAAATCCTAACCATCCTTAAGAATCCATCTCCGACTGAAACAACACATTTCTTCGAAGATTTCCATAAACCAATTCAAGTCCACAATCATGTTTAATTGCCCACTGTGTGGCTGGCGTTGTGCAAGGCTTTCTGGATAAAAAGAGGGGGACAAAAAGAGTTTACATACTGCTGAGAACCACAGGCCCTCTTGCCTGAAATGTAGGGTGTGTCAGTCACCTTTTTAGTTCCCAGAAGTGGCATATGTGTTCTCACACCTACCAAGAAGTTTCCAGTGATCTTGAACGATGTACAACCTTGGGTAACATGGGACATTTCAAGGACTGAGGCCAGGGGAAAGAGCAAGTCCATTCCCCTATCTCTCCTCAGGTGCAAGAGTGACTGTGTCTCACACACACACACACACACACCCTACTCAAATTCCAGTGACCCCCTATTAATTTCTAGGATCAAATATAAACACCTTGTTTAGCATTTAAAGTTATTGACAACCTGGCCTCTTCCTGCCTTTCCACACTTTATACACTTTACTTACCTCTACAAATTTTATAATCCAGTCATACTGTCCTTCTTGCTATTCCTGGAACACAACATTCCATCTGCCAGCTCTGTACTTTGGTACTGGCTGTCCTCAATTCCTGGAATGGTCTTTAACCTCTCCTCCAACTCTTAAATCCCTGGCTTCCTTCAAAGCTCAAAGGTTTCAATGGGCTCAACTCAAAGCCCACTTTCTTCAGGGGGCCTTTCCTGGTTGTCCCCCTTCCTCCTGCCTCCCCAGGTTGGTAGAGCTTTCTTCTATAAAGTTATCTTCTATCTACTCTATATGTATCTTGTATGTAGCTATTTACATATTGTCTTCATCATTAGGATGTAAGCTGTATAAGGTCAGGGACTGTTTTTTGCCCTAGTGCTTAGGACAGTACCTGAGAAATAGTAAACACTTAATAAATGTTTGTTGATTTTTCCTTCAGATGCCCCACTATGCAGTCTCATCTGGAAGAAGCTTCCCCAAATCCCCATGCCAAATCCTTCACATTTGTTTTGAGTAACACTTGTTGAACTGAAATTAACTGCCCAACTAACCTTCTACTCCAGACACCAGGCTTAAGTTGTTGTTCAGTCATGTCTGACTCTTCGTGAGACCATGGACCATCCTGTCCATGGGGTTTTCTTAGCAAAGATATTAGAGTAGTTTGCCATTTCTTTCTCCAGTGGGTTAAGGCAAACAGAATAACTTGCCTAGGGTCATACAGCTAGTAGGTGTCTGAGGTCAGATTTGAACTCAGGTCTTCCTGACTCCAGGCCAGTGCTCTATCCACTGAGCTGCCTCCATAGGTTCTAATGACATTCTACCTATTCACTCTCAGTACTTCATATGGAGAGTTTCTTGGCCAGAGCTATCAAAGGAGCTGTCCTTGGGGTATTAGTGCTGAGGCCTTATGGTTAGAGTAGCTCAAATTAGTTGGTCAGTCATAACTCCTAAGAGTTGAGAGGGAACTTCAGGAAGTCATCTAGTCTTACCACTTTGTTTTGAAAGCAGTATGTTATAGTGAAAAGAGGACTGATATGGAGTTAGAGGACCTGGATTCAAATCCCAGTTCTAAAACTATGTGACCTTGAGCTAATCACTTTTCTACTCTGGACTTAATGTTGCTTCTTCCTTTAAAGAAGGGAGTTTGGACTAAGTGATTATTAAGATCCCTTTAAGGCTTAGATTAGTGATCCTGTGATCTTTAAAGTCCCTTCTAGGACTAAATCCTTTGCTCCTGTGACAATAATCTTAGAGGGACTTACCAAGGGATCAGGAAGGAAGAGACTATATTTTGGTTTCTCCTTTCTCCTTTCTCTCTCCTTCACCCTCCCTTCTCCCCACCCCACTTTCACCTTACCCACCCTCCCCCTAAAATTACGTATATCTTAGTTTCCTGACTGAATGTCCTCCCCTTGTTTCATCTAAAATTCCACAGGGATTGATGGAGGCAGAAACCAAAACTCTTCCCCTGGAGAATGCATCTATCCTTTCAGAGGGTTCTCTGCAAGAGGGGCATCGGCTATGGATCGGCAACCTGGACCCCAAGATCACAGAGTGAGTCTAAGTGTCTTTCTCCCAACAACTGTAAGTGATGATTTTAATGTGAGGAAGGGATGCTCATTGAATAAATGAGTTTTGAGCCTGCTGGGTGCAGAACACACTGCTAGGCACTGGGAGATCATAAAGATAAATAAGTCAGTTTCTGCCCTGAAGGAGTTTGCACCTATTAGGGAGAATGAAACGTGGATATAAATCAATAGACTTTACACATCTGGGCCTCAGCTTCCTTATTTATACAATGAGGGAGTTGGACTAGGTCAACCCTTGCAGCTTTCTTGCAGCTCTAAATCAGTGATTCTGTGAAAACAACACACATTCAAACGTGGTGAGTGCGTAAGCAGAGTATAAAATGCTAGATCTGATAAAAGAAAAATCCTTTCTAGCTGGCAGAGTTGGAAAGGTTTCCTGGAGGATGTGGCATTTGCTCTGCTCTTTTAAGTAGAAGTAGAATATAGAATTGAAATTGGAGTAGGGGAGGGGAACTGGAAAAGGAAGAAATGGGCAATCCAGACATAGACAGAACAACATGAGTAAAGGTGCAGAGGCAGAAATATTGATGAATTTTTTTGAAGAAAAATAAGCATTTTGGTTTTCTGAGGGTATGTCTCCTCCTCCCACCCCTAGCCCCCAGCTGCTTTGAAGATTTAATATGCATTTGGCATGTTTATTAATCCTATCTTTTGTGTAAATTTGGAGTTTTCAATGGCAAGCCAGCAGGATAGGAATCCTTAAAACTGTAGGTTCATTATGATTTAAAGTGGAAATAAACCTTAGAGGTCATTTAGTCCAAACTTTTCATTTTACAGATGAGGAAACTGAGGTCTAAAGAGATGAAGTGGCTTGTCCCAGGTCACAACTAGTAAGTAGCAGAGTCAAAATTCACAACCAGGTTTTCTGATACCAAATAAAATGTTCTTTTCACACCACACAATGCATCCCAACTGGCACACTGTGGCAAATTGTTAATTCTTTGAAAAATCTTTACTTCTGAAGGTCCTTGAAGCCAGTAAACTTCAAAAACTAATATATCTTTCACCCTTGTATCATATTCTTCCCATTCTTGATGCCCTTATTCTCTTAGAGAATTTGGATATGTTACAGATCTTTTGTATGGTTTGGGTTGGGAGACATGACTTCGACTGGTGTTCTTGTGATCTATTTTCTGTTATTGAACTTTTTTTAAAATTTTATGTTACTCTTGCTAAAGATTTTCTCCCTAGTTCTGCTACTCAGGAAAAATAATATTTATTACTCTATAGTTAAAGTGAACTATTCCTCCAGAAATATGCCCTAGGTAATGAAATCATTTCCAAAAGGAGCACATCCTCCTGCTATAAAGTGGAAAAGGGCCTTATTACCCTATCTCATAGTTCTATTAGAATACAGAACATTAAAAAATTAGAGTTGGAAAAAAGCCTTAGAGCATAGAGTTGTAGAGGGCCTAGGAAATCATAGAGTCCAATTTCCTTGTTTTACAGTGGGAGAAATTGAGACCTGGGGATAAGAAATGACTTGCTCACGTACACACAAGGTGTTGTAGAGGACCTGAGAAACGATAGGCTCCAATACCCTTGTTTTGCAGATGGGGAAACTGAGAAAGAGGGAGACTATTTTTCCCCATAAGGGATCCTTTGATTGTCGTGATAAATAATGGTCTTGGGGGGCGGGGATTCAGACCATACTGTGTGCCAGAAACAGCTCCCATTGGAAAAGGATCCCACAGTAAGGACAGTTAGGAGGAGGGGAAGGGTGAAACAGAAGAGGGCCATGCTGCAGCCAGGGTTTGAGCCAGGATCAAAAGGTACAAATGGCTAGGAAGCGATTGTATATGGGTCAGGATCCATTTTCATTTCTGTAGCACTTTCAGCCACAGGATTTAGAGCTTCTAGAGACCGCAGCAGCTATCCAGTCCAATCTCCTGGTGAAAAAGAATCTACATGGCAACACATGCAACAAATAGTTATCAAGACCTTCCTTGAAGTCCTCCGGTTAGGAGGAACCTACCACTTCCAGAAGCAGTTCATTCAACTTTTGGATAACTCTGGAGCTCTAACTTTTGAAGTTTGTCTTGTGTTTCCTAGTAATGGTGAGATGGGGACAGCAACTATATAATGACAGGAGAATGCAGCTAGCACTTACTAAGCACCTATATGCTATGCATTGGAGATACAGAGACAAAAGTGAGACAATCTCTGCCCTCAGGAAGATTGCATTCTGCTGGGGAAATACAACATGGTCCTGATTGGGCAATGGGTATTGACAACAGAGGGAATTGGGAAAAGCCTTTTGAAGGAGATGGCACTTGAGTTGAGCTTTGAAGGAATGAAATGCTGATTCAGTTCAAAAGAAGA